ACTGCCACTTCCAGATAAAAACTACCTTCTCTCTGGTTTACCTTACAGGTATTAACAATCTTTCCCCTGAGTGTATCCTGTGGTCGCTCATCATGTTGTTGAAGCGTTTTATGTCCATAACCTAGAGAAGAAATAGAGTTAATCATCACATCAACAAAGAAAAGACATCATGTAACAATTCGACTGAGATAAAATCTGATACAGATAAGAAAACGTAGTGAAATTCCATTCTCAAATTACAATGAATTGTTCATCCCTGATTATCTATCACACGTGGATTGAGGAACCACATAAAACAAATAATTTTATGTTGCATACTTTTTTACTTATGCGGACTCCATCACAGTTTCAAGCTTTAAAAGAGTTCAAAATTCACATCAATTTGATTCATACGAAGACAGTAACAACACAAATCAAAAGTCACAACAACAACAAGAACACAACAACAGCTCCAATCGGAAAAAGTCTTAGAACAAAAAATCATCAATAGTTTGATTATAAGACAACAAATCGAAAAAAGAACACAAAAAAACAACAAACTTCAACATCACAGCAAAAAGCCAACATCCCAGCGAAATTCGATCACAAAAAATTGGAGAAAACAGAAACGAAAACTCACCTACACGGAATATTGGCGGTCTTCGGTTGAGTGGTCGAAGGAAGCCGACGTCGTCGAGCAGCAGTTCGGAGTGATAGCAGCAGCTCATAGATGGTTTTTCTTCTCGTTGAGGTGTTCAATCGTAGGGAAAAATCGAAATTTTGAGTTTTTGTCTCGGTCCAGCAAAAGAAAGGGGAGGACCGAATCAGCTCCAAAGTTTGGACCGAGTCCACATCTTGGACCGAGTCCTTGATGGTAAAGACCCCGTATCAAACAAGTTGATTAACTTTTTTTGGACCGGGTCCTCTGTTGGACCCAGTTAGAAGCTATATCAAACGACCCCTAAGTAAAAAGTCTACATGGAAGCCTGTTATTGAAAAGTTTAAGAAGCGATTATCGAGTTGGATGGTAAAATGTTTGTCTACACAGGGGAGACTTATGATGATTAATTTGGTAAATAGAAGTATAAGCATTTATTACATGTCGCTTTTCAAAACTCTAATTGGTGTTTTATAGAAATTAGAGATTCTTCGTATAACTTTTTTTTGGGTGGTGATGGTCCTGAACACTGAATTGATTGGATTAGATGGGATCAAGTTTTATCTAGTTTTGATAACGACGGTCTTTCAATCAGTACCTTGTCAGTTTTTTAATAATGCTTTATTGCAAAAATGGTGTTGGCGTTTTTTTAATGAAAATGAGATTGCTTGGGTTAAGCTTATACAAGCTATACATGGCGGTACCGGGGGTTTGAATGTCGTTAATGGAGATAGTCTTACGAATGGTGTTTGGACAAAAACTAGTATGATCTATTCGAAAGATGCATGATACAGGTGTTATTTCGTTGTCCACTTTACAAAAAAAAAGTGGGAAGGGTATGAGTGTTAGTGTTCGTTAGTTGGCTGTTATAGTGTGTTGGTTCGGAGGCTTAAGGAAGCGTTATCCTGTCAGCTCAGAAGCCAGGAATTATCGGTAACAACATATGATTTATGATTATGTTTCTGGCGAGAACTTTAGGTTTTTCAGAGTGTGATCCACTTCAGGAGGAAGGGAAAGTTGGGTCCCCGATATATTGGGCCATTTCGGGTTATTGCCAAGGTTGGAAAAGTGGCGTATCGACTGGACCTTCCGGAGGAGCTCAATTAGATTCATAGTACTTTCCATGTATTGCAGTTTCGAAAGTGCGTGTCGGATGGGAATGTCGTGGCATCATTGGGTGATATTCAGGTAGATGAGCGCCTGAATTACGTTGAGAGGCTGGTAGCTGTCTTGGGAAGGGAAGGTAAAGGTTATGCGTGGCAATGAGACACCTTTGGTAAAGTTACAGTGGCAACATCGGAAGGGATCCGAGTAGACTTGGGAGCCGGAGGCTGAGATGGAAGATCATTATCCGGAGATGTTCACTGCTGCAGGCTTCAAGGATGAAGCCTAGTTCAAGTGGGGGTGAGTTGTAACAGCTCGATTTCCGGGAATTAAATTTAGGGATTTGTGCACTTAAGAAAGTCTACTCAACGAGTTGGAGGCCCCAACTCGTCGTGTAGAAATCTGGAAGGGCCGCATATTTCGGAGAACCTACTCGATGAGATGGAGGACCCAACTCGACGGGTTGGAGCTGATTATGAAAACCCTAATTTTTAGGGTTTGCACCCTATTTAAAGATCCTTAAGTCTTCCCTCCAGCCTCCCTTACCATCTTCACATCCAGAAACAAACCCTAATCGAGCTAACTTCCTATTTTGAGTGTGTGTGAGGTTAAAAAGTGTGTGGTTGGTGCATTTCTTGAAGAGACTTGAAGATTTAGAAGCTTGGAACGAGAAGGAGCTTGTAGATCCAGCATCTACTTCGTTTTTGGCATTCATTTGAAGGTAAAATGTCATTACCTCGATCATTTTCTGGTTAGATCTATCCATTCATGAGTTTAGGGTCATTTCTAGCTTATTCTTGAGGCATTTTTGGTATTGAGCATGTTTTGGAGTGAGGAGTTCAGATCTGGACTCCTCTAGGCCCCCATGGACATAAAGTCCTCGACTTTATCAAGCTTTGGCCCTTCTCCATGCCCTAAACCTCTTCCTAAGACTGGTTTTGAGTGTTTTAGCCTATTGAAGCCTTGCATGCACATAAAGTTGGCAACTTTACGTGGTAACTACACCATATGAGGCTAGATCTACAGTTTGGAGCCTTGGTCTCGCTTAAAAGCGTTAGAATGAGATCAGGGCTGAAGGAACTCGACGAGTTGGTTAGGGTTTTCTCGAATCTTCTGGACACTGCATGGACTCGACGAGTTGTTTGGTAACTCGACGAGTTGAATCGGGTTTTCGCGGTTTCTGAGTTCTGAAGGAACTCGACGAGTTGCTAGATGCACTCGATGAGTTGGGTCAACAAGGACTGTTGACCTTGACTGTTGACTGTTGACTTTCACCAGGGTTGACTAAGTTTGACTTTAAGGGTATTTCGGTAATTTGGGATTTTGATGGAATTAGTCACATGGTGATTACATGCGGTTGAGTTCGGAGCGGTGATTGGGAGTTGGATATTGTCACTACAACACTACTTGTGAGGTGAGTTCTTCTCACTATATCAACAGGGTCTAAGGCACCAAGGCCGACCCTTTGGATTGTTATCCTATTTTATTATTGTTATGATATGTTAGATCGGTATCCTGGTAGATATGATGTTTCTATGTGGTTATGATCTGTTAGATCGGTATCCTGGTAGATAGGATGTTGCTATGCTTAGTGATCTGTAGATTGGTTTGACTGTCTGTAGACTGTTACGTGATTATCTGATATATGTGCATATGATTGATTGATGGCTGAGGCTTCACCACTTTGTGCGTAAGCCAACAGGCCGGGGCATTCCAACCTTATGGTTGAGGGCTGAGAGTATTCCATCACGATGGATGACTGGACTCGCAGTATGTTGGCATTCCAACCCGATGGTTGAGGGCCGGTGTATTCCAACCCGATGGTTGATTGGACCCATAGTATGTTGGCATTCTAACCTGATGGTTGAGGGTCGGGGTATTCCAACCCGATGGTTGATTGGACCCATAGTATGTTGGTATTCCAACCCGATGGTTGAGGGGCCGGGGTATTCCACCCTGATGGATGATTGGACCCATAGTATATTGACATTCCAACCCGATGGTTAAAGGCCTGGGGTATTCCATCCCGATGGATGATTGGATCCGTAGTATGTTCTTTTGATATATGTTATTTTGTGTGTTGGTATCTTGGGGGAACTCACTAAGCTGCGTGCTTACGGTTTCAGTTTATTGTTTTCAGATGTTCCAGATGTTTGGCAAGGCGAAGGCGTGGCCGTACACATCCTCGTGTTTTTGGAACTTATGGTTTCTGGGATACCCTGATAACGCAAAAGTTTTGAAAACTATGTGTAAATGATTCCAGTTTTAAATAAATGTTTTGGGAACAACGATTTTCTAAACACCTCTTTAAAGGGGTGTTTGGATTGCTTTTTAAACCTTAAAAGTGTTTTTGACAAAAGTCCTTGTTGACTTGTGACTTTTACAAAATGAGTTTTTAAAAAAGTGTTTAGAATAGTTTTTTCAGTAAGTTGTTTTTTAAAAGATATTTTGGTTTAGCTTCTACATGTAAAATGACTAATATGTGGGTATAATGTTAGGTGGGTATAAGGTTAAATGAGGGTATTGTAATAGTTTTTTGGAATCAAACAACCAAAACCATTTCAAAAAGTTAGGTTCTACATATTTTATCAAAACTCTTTTTTGAAGTTTATAGAAAAATTATTTTCAAAAATGCTTTTCACTTATGTAAACACTTCTTAACTTGTCCACTTTTCAAAAAATAAAAAAATAAATAAGATGTTTTAATAGCAAAATTCCAAACACCCCTAAAACCCTAATGTCCTTTTTCATTCCTTTTTGCTCTTCTATCCCCACCTTTCACCTTCTTTTTTCTACGTAATTTATCTCATAGATAGCTACAGCTTCCCGTATGGCGACGATAGACAATAGAAATGCTATCTACGAAAGCGCTGGAGCCGGATGAAAGCTCGTTAATATGTCTTAAGAGTGGACGGAATAGGTGCATATAATTTTTTTTTGGATGAAATAATTTCATTTGATCTCTCTTTTGTCTTAAACATACCGTCTCATTGGTAGTATTTTCGGTTGCTTCTTTCGTGCAATAATATTCTAAAACATTTCATTCATGTTTGCTCCTATATTTCCGACATGTGGAAAATAGAATTAGCTGTTTATGTGCTAATTTGGATTCTTGAACTTTGGAGGCATGCTAAATATATTTAAATTGTTAGTTTTGATCGAGGCCAGTCTATGGGCTTGGACAAGCTCACCAAACGGGCCATTTTATAATTGTTATTGTTATTAGGTTAGGACAACCCATTAGTAAAAGTATAGGCGGCAATCCAAAATGAAGAAGCGGGAGTAGCGCTGACCTACTGTGTTTCCGACTTCCTATGCGCCCTCTTTCAATTTTCGATTCCATGACCATGGGAAATCCAAACGACAATCTCTCCGGCTCTCCCCGAAGCAAACGCCCTAACGGTTAGTTCTCTTTCTTCTATTTCTAGTTCAAGATAATCAATTATACTTCTGTTTTCTGATTTTTTGAATTCGCCCAATTTAAATTCACAATACCTGATTCTTTCTCTTCTTATTTTTTATTTCATTTTTCTGAAATACCAGCAATTAGAAGTTACCTGCTGCCGTTATATTTCTGAATCAGACGTTTTTTAGTTGAGTCTCGAGATTAACTGCACCAGTTGAATTAATTTCTTTCTGAATCTTATCCAGTCAGAAGTTTGAAGTAGAGTAATCTTTCAGAATTGGACGTTTTTATCCGTTTTACTGTGTAAGTTGAATTTCTGGATATGTGAAGCTGTTTTGTTAAGAATCTGCAAAATCGATGTCTGATTTTGCTTAAATTTATTTCTCAGATTTCTCAATTCTGTTTTGGGCTCAGTGGATATAAACAACAAGAGAACAGTTGACTGCTGAGCATGTAGTCTCTTTTCACTTTTTTTTTGTTAATCTGTTTTTTTGTTGATTTGTGAATCTGACTGATTGTTGATTTGTTATCGTTAAAAATGCCTCCTGGAAATTATATGTCTAGAAGTGAAAAACGAAAAAAGAAAAACAAAAATGGAACAATTTAATGAAGCTCAAGGTGGGAGCTATGTTAGCATTTCTGCTGTCTCTGGGATATTAGAGCTTGAACAAATTCTGAAACAGAAAACCTTTAGTAGGTCAGTGTATTTTTAAGTACAATCGTACACTGTTATTAATAGTGCCGTAAAAAAACAGAGCACCAAAGTATTCAAAATGGACAGAAATGGATCAGCTTTTACAATTATATATCTCCGTTTTGCTGGTTAATCATGCATATTGTGTGTATTCCATGTTTTCAAAACACAAACATAAAAGTAGATTAATGTTGTTGAAAGTGTATCCATTCTTTGGATTTGTATATGGCACTACTGATGTGTTACATACTGCTACTACAGGTCTGAAGCAGATCCACGCACTGGACAAGATCCGAAAAGATTAATGGCGTCACCACGATGCCCAGCGACACTGGAGAACCTCCCTAGTGATATTTTATTAAAAATTTTCATCCGTTTATTGGCAAAACAACTTGCTAAAATGAGGTGCGTCTCCAAATCTTGGAATGCCCTCTTATCTGAATCCTCCTTTATAAAATCCCACCTCCATCATTCCATCAATAACAACGATCAAATTCTCTTGATTTTCAACTACAACCTGTTATCTCTTGACCCTATACCTTTCACAGTACACCCGTGTCGATTTCCACATCTCGAACTCACTAATTTCATCAAACTCCCCCCCTGTTATTCCCGATTCTGAAGATACTACTGGTGACATGATCAGTGTTATTGGTTCTGTTCATGGTTTAATATGCTCTCGTTACTCTGATAGTGGCATTCAAATTTGGAACCCTTCTCTCTCATCTGTGTTAACTCTCCCACCACATTACATACCCTGCCGAGGTCCTTATGAAATCTTTTTCCAGTTTGGGTTTGATCCAAAAACCGATGATTACAAAGTAGTTAAGGTTATAGGACTTACTGCACCACACATCGGGCAACCTGATCTTTTACCATATCCTGTAAAAGAGTGGTTGCAGGTTGAAGTTTATAGCATGCGAAAGGGTTCCTGGGGATTCATCACTCAAAAGTTTCCATCGCGCGTCACAGAGATTTTTTTACCCGAAAACGTCTGTGTAGATGGACATGATGGCCATCTTCATTGGCTTGGTTATATTGGTGAGGAGGGGGATCGACTAATGATAGTGGCCTTTGATATGGGATCAGAGACATTCAGTGAGATGACTCTTCCGGTTCCAGACGTTGTGATAGACTGCAATGGCTGCTATCCTTTAGGGGTTTTGGCGGGAAAGCTTTGCTTTATCACATGGGTGGCGAATGATGATGTGTGTGAGGTGTGGGTGATGGAGGAGTATGGGGTGGCTGAATCATGGGTTAAACACCATGTGTTCTCGCAGTTTAGTTATGGTGCACCTTCGTTTGGATTCACGACACACAGTGAGTTTGTTATTGAAGATGATGATCGTTGTCTTGTTTTGTATGATCCAATTGCAGACAAGGCTAAAATTTTGGAGAAATATTGTCCTAAGTTCGGCACAAATAAAATTGTGGAGTATGTTGACAGTCTTGTTTGGGTAGCACCTTCTGTGAGATGAGATGCATCTATAGATTTCACATTTTGAAAAGGCAACGTGCAAAACATCGGATTCTTCTTGTCTTGTTTTCTTTTGTTATAACTGAGTGATCTACGGCTACTATTTTTTTGTAAAATTAGGTAATCTTTAACTTGCTACCTATTGGGCATTGCCATGGGCACTTGGCCAGAATTTTTGCTGATGTGGAAAGATGACTTGGCAGCTATCCAACATAGTTGAACCGGTTTTATTTAATACCAACCAAGTTTCAGTTTGGTTGGAATGTTTGTAGTTTTTTTATAGTTCATGATCCAACAGGCATCTATCACATTGACATTGTAAACTAGAGCTTTCTTCGAGTTTTATCTGGTTATGATCCAATGGATCATGACATTTGACATCCCTTCTTTCTAACTAGCATAAGTTATAAAAAATATTCATTAGTAGTTGCGAGACCCATTTATTATCACATGAGTTAATTTAAAATAAATTAAATATAAAATTCTAAATATCTGAGAGCTTTAATTTAATAAGAAAATTTGAAATTAGGGTAAATTCATTAATGAAATTGATATCAATTAATAAAATAAGAAAACCTGTAAAAATGACATGTGGAAAAAAAATTAATTCAAAATAACCACAAAATAACATTTGGAAAATTGAATGAAAGTGGGACATGTTTGTGAAAATATCTTTATCTATTAGAGTAGACTAGATGTGAGACCCGTGTATTACACGAGTTTATTAAAAATAAAAGTTTAATATAAAGGTGTAAGCATTGAACATTTTATAAAGTAATATTTTTACATAAATACAAAGGATATAATGAATAAAATAAGTAATTCAATCTATACTAATAAAAAAAAATATTGAAATATTTTAAATAATTTTGCTAAAAATTAAGATGAAATATATAACTCCCCATGAGTGAACACCGATTCTCTTAAAAACATCACTTTTGATAGCGACTATCTTTGACTCTTGTTTATTATTATTGCAAAACATAAAGCTAACACAATTTTCTTTTGAAACTCGTGTATTATATTGGTTGAATAAAAGAATTGTTGAATAGTTAGTAATAAAGAATAAGTATTTTTATTGGAATTACGCATGAATAAGTACTTTAAGTAATAAATCAATAATATTTAAAATGAAAATAAACATTAAGGATTTAAGTATGACCGGAAAAATTATATAGTTTGGGACACATAAAAGTGAATTTTTTTATCATTCTTTTCAAGTTCTAACACTCATGACCAAAATCCAAAAACCATAAATGACATAAAGTATATTGTTATTTTCAATTTTACAATTACCATAGTACATAGTAATTTTGATTTTATGTATTAATAGTAACAACCACAAAAACCAACAATAACAAGAAAAAAATGTAATGTTATTTCCATAAACCAATACCCATTGAATTAAATAAATTTCTTATGATGCTATTTCTAGAAAATATAATGGTATTTCCAAAACTTATATTATGGACTTTTCACTTGGAAACTTTTGTATACGGAATATTTCTATATCACCTCTTCTTAACCATGTTTTTCTTTGTAGCAATAATAATAAAATAGTTTAAAATATGCAATTCTAATAATCTAAAAAATTATGCAATCACATGCCCTCTAATCAAACCCAAATCTTTAACTATGCAAGTAGATGTTATGCAGTTTGTTGAGCTAAACCATAAAAAAAAAGGAAGATGTTCTATTGAAGCACGATTTAAAGGTCCATAGCCCGTAAGAACAACCCCTGATTGATATATATATATATATATATATATATATATATATATATATATATATATATCAATTATTCAAAGTCTATAGAACCAAAAAAATCATCAATTCAACCTACAAAATAAGAATTAAGTTCATATGTTTAGTAGACTATGTTGTTAAGGACCATCATTTATCGTGAAGTTGTTCAAATCAAACCACATGATTCCAAATAAATTCTTTTGTTATGTATGCTGAAAGTTTAAAGAACAAAAAAAATGGTATCAAGGACGAGTCAAAAAGACATACATGCCCTTACACTCAAAACATGCTTCAAAAAACTTTGATAAAAAAACAACTCATTTTACAACAAAAGATGAAGTATCATCCTAATTTTAACCATATTTAATTAAGTATGAGGATCTTAATAAATAAAACCAAGTCATTTTTACCCTTTTCCTTCTTTTATTCTATCTTTAATCATCAGGTGTAAGCGAAAGTCCAACCTAGTGCTTTTTAGGACAAAAAATGGATCAAAGTCTACCTGTTACCCGTTGGTAAACAGTTCATTTCTTATATTTTTAGTATTTAAATTAGTTCTTATTTTTCACAAGTTATAATCAATATTAAAACACCTTAGGGTCAGGTGTTTTAGGTAATTCTGATATGAGCTAGTCGTAGGCCCTTTCTTGTTTCCTACGTTATACACCAACCATGGAAATAAAAAAATTAGCACGTATAATTATACAAAATATGAAGAAGTCGAGTGAAATTAACCGGTATCCAAGTTATATATAAAATAAGTACTTTAATATTTGGGAATCAACAAATAAATATTTATAAGAATATGACAAAGAAGTAAGGTTACTTTGATAGCTGTGGATTGAGGGAAGGTTGAGGAACATCTTTTTGTGGGTGGTAATGTTATCCATGGACAGCTCCTAGCCTCTTATAGTCTCCTTGAACTGGTGCTTGATGGAGAAACAAATCTAGTGGTAGCTTATCAAACACACCATTACAAATTGAGTTTTTCAATGAATTAATTTGATCAATAAACCGTTAGTCTACTATATGCAAAGAAATAATCTTATATACATAAAAAAAGTTGAAGTAAGATGAAACAAATTTTGTAGTTCTTAATTTTACATAAAACCATGATTGAAAGGAAAGATAACTCACAATACCTTAAGTACGTAGTACTCTATAATCAGTATAAATGTACCCATACCATTATTCATTGGAAGGATAACTTGCTAAAATTTCTTCATTCACAGAAGCCTGCATCATAAATTAAACAATTAACTCACAAGAACATGTAAATGTTGATGTTTAAAGTGACATTCTCTTTTTCAAAATAGAGTTTCAATTAGGTTGGGGCTGATTAAAGCTAGCCACACATCTGTCATGTTTTATTATATTATCGTGTTTATAAAATATTTGTTATAGAGATATTATGAACAATGTAACTAAACACAGCCAAAAGACGAAAGTGACCAGACTACCAATAAGAGAGTGACCAATTCAGTTAATGCATAACAAAAAGAGTCAAGTTAAACTTTTCTGTCAACAGGGACCAATACATCCAAAAGATAACCAAATCAAATAATTAAAATGTCTTTGGTGTAAAAAATTCTTTCTTTAAGACATTCTATCGAACATCATATATGCATTCCAACATCCAAAAGTCTTTGGTGTCGACAGTTCTTTCTTTAAGACATTCTATCGAACATCATATATGCATTCCAGCATCCAAAATTCTTCGAATAATATACTTCAACAGGGCCAATGAAAAGAGAAGAAAAATAATAGACTTTGCATATTCAAATACTTAAATGATTTACAAAAGATACATGTATAACCATAATAACATTCAATAAAATCTATCATATTTCACGAAATCCATTTGCTAACCCTTGTGTAGAGGTGGTGCAGTCGATTATGATTATGTTGCTTTTGAAAAACAACCAAATAATTTTGGATATAGAGAATGACATTACAATAAGTATGAAATCACATATATACATAATTTTGAATGATATTTTGGAAATGATGACTCTGCAGAAATGATTGATAAGATAGTATATTGAATTCCTTTTATTCAAAATTGTATAAATTTGGAATTATTATAGAAGATTATCTAAAATTGGAGTAATATATGAATGATATCAGAGATTTAAAAAGGAAGGAAATAAATGTTTGTATAGCAATTAATGTGAGATTTTAATAGAATCAAATACATTATATATAGATCAATACGTTACCTATATATAAACATTCAACCAACCTGTAACGCCTGGTTTCTAGTATGAATTTATTTCCAATTATTTACATTTTCTTGGAGGACTCGTCAAGTTGGAGGCCTCAACTCGACGTGTCGAAGTTGTTTTGGCCGCGAAGTTTAATGAGTCAACTCGGCGAGTTGGCAGCTGGGAAGGAAACCCTAATTTTTAGGGTGTTGCACCCTATTTAAAGGCCTTAAGTCCCTTGGCTGGCCTCCTTACCAACCTCCTCTGTCCAGAAACCCTAAAATCAAGTATTTACTTCCATTCTTGAGTGTGTGAGCTTGAAGAGAGCCTTAAGTGTACATTTTGGTGCATATTGAAGGAGCTAAGGAATTGAGAGTTGCTTGGCTTGAAGAACGAGTCTTGGATCCAAAATCACTAGCTCATTTGTCAAGTTTTTGAGGTATCAAGTTTATACCTTGCTTATTAGTTACATAGATCTCTTATTGGGTTAATTTGTATGCTTTTAGCCATGTTTGGGTGGATGATGGGGGTGTAGGACGTCCCAAATGTTATCCTTTCAGATCTAAGATTTTCATGAGCTCTTTTGGCATAAAGGTGCCAACTTTATGGTCTTAAGGGCTTCATGCTTTCATTAAGTCCTTCTTTTGGCCTCTTTTGAGCATTTGAGCCCCTCCTAGTCATGCATGAGTGTAAAGTTGGAAACTTTACGTAGCCATTCAACTTTTAGGGCCAGATCTGCAGTTTGGGGCTATGCCTTTGGTGATTAAGCCCTCACCCTTTTAAGCCTAGGATTCAGGTTTTGAACCCATCTTGGTGGTTCTTAGGAGTAAAGTTGGAAACTTTACCCTTCTAGATGCCATTTCATTTAAGATCTGAGTTGTGAAGCTCTTAGTTCGATAAGGTCGGCTTAATGATTTAAGATGTTGGGTTTCTGACGAACTCGGCGAGTTTATGGATAAACTCGGGGAGTTGGATCGGTTTCTTCCCGACTTTGCAGACGAATGGAGAAACTCGGCGAGTTGAAGGACAACTCGGTGAGTTGGGCCAACTC